CCACTGATGAACTCACTCAATATCTTTCCGAGTCTCCAGCTCCTACGAAAACAGATGTTTTGGAGTGGTGGAAGGTCAACAGTACACGCTACCCTCGGCTCTCTGCAATGGCTAGGGACTTCTTAGCTGTCCAAGCAACTTCAGTAAAACCTGAGGAACTATTTTGCAGTAAAGGTGATGAGATGGATAAGCAGCGTTTTTGTATGCCACATGATAGCACACAAGCTATCCTTTGTATTAAGTCATGGACTCAGGGAGGTCTCAAGTTAAAGTACAAGTCTACTGAGATTGACTATGAGAGGTTGATGGAATTGGCAGCTGCAGCAGCAGCAGATAATATCTCAGCTGGTTTTGATAAGAAACCAAAGTGAACAAAAGGAGAATCGGAAAATGATTAAGTTACTGTGATTGACTTCTACCACTAATCTAGATGACTGTCTGACTTATGTTTGTAATTTAGCTTCTCCCTCAAGAGGGAATTGAATTGTCATTATTTCTTCCTTATTGTTGTATGTATCATATGAAAATTATGTATCGAATGTACAGTTCAAAATTTTAGAATGCTAACCTGAGAAAAAGACACTGATATTATTGATGATTCTAGTACATCATATTGTCATCAAAATTTCTGCATATTGGGCAGCGTACTGAACATCAAGGCTGTCTTTCTGTTTGCTATAGTCATTACTGTTGTATGTCACCTGATGGAAATGAGAATATAATCTTAACAGAAAGGGGTTAAAAGCTATGTCATTCTCATTTTCTCATCTTTAATTGTCTCAACAGTCTTTCTCTCATGCCTTTGCAGAAAGGAAGTTCAACTGAAATTAATATTGCAATTTTAAAAGTGGAAATTAAGGATTGATAAATATAATAATGTTAAAGATGTGGATTCATCCTTTATTATTGAGGTCAAAGAACAATCATGTAGAAGAATGGCCAGAAGGTCAGAGAAAAAGGGTAAAGGTTGACAAGCTAGTGTAACAGGATCTCTCTAAAGTCGAGAATACTTGTGAATATGCAAGTTGCGTATATAGATTTGGAGACCATCCAAGCAATGAAGAGTCTGATAATGAGCTATTCGGTGAAAAAATTGTATCAAGTGAAAGAGTGTATATAAATATTTGCTGTCTCATGCTTCAAAAAAATGTTATGATTAGAATATCATGGCAGAAAGATGTAAGAAATAGACAAGTAACACAAATAGAAAAAAGAAAAATGCAAATACAGGAGGCACGATGTGAGTATCCATCTTATTTTCATTAGGAACGACATTGGAAATGCTTGAATGCATGCCCTTTGGGCAAGCATTTGCTATCCTGCTGACTTCTTGAGCTGCAGTATCATCATTGTCAACAGATCTCCTCTTTGAATCACTCGATTGGTCTGGCTTTGCCTGGGAGACTTCTGATGAAGAAAAGTCATGTTTCTGTCCAGCCATTGCAGTTTGAGACTGCAGGCCTGCCTTCATTCTTGTTCTGTGCCCAGAGACCAAAGGAGCAATTTCCCTGTCATCCAACACCCCTCCAACGAATTTTGTTAAAACTTGCTTTGCTGAAGGAACTGTTTCTACTGCATCATTGAAAGAAACCCTCCTTGCTTTTGTAAGATTTGGCGTCTCTGTAGTTTCAATAAAATCCTTCAGGACCGGAACAACTCTCTTGCTAGACATACCATCCAGTTTAGTGCTAGACATTGATGTCTTTGAAGGCACCATTGAATTTGAAAGCCTGCGTATGATGCAAGTTCTTTCCAAAGGACTTCCTATGGAGGACTTATCTGGTGATGAAACAACACTAGAACCATCTATGCTGCTTCTCCAACTTGCATTATGACCTACGCCTGAATTCTTGCTAATGCTTATGTGGCCACTTGAAGAGCTTTCAATGGTGCTGCTGTCTGTATCTTCACACTCAGTTGATGAGCTGTAAGAAGAAGTGCTGTTCATGTCAGGGTCTTGTGTAGTTATCTTGTGAGGTTTATGGTCTGAAGATTTCGGAAGTTCCTTTTGCAAGGTCTTTCTTGATGATTTTTGATGACCTTGGATTTCAGCCCTTAGGCAAGCATTGAGCCAGCGTTGGTACACCAGTTCCTCAACCATGTCAAATCTGCTCTTCTGCAATCTTTCAACTGGTTCTGAGAGGTCCCCGTTGGCATGTCTCAGTTCACTAATCTTGGCAATAGTCTTACTCTGCAGCAGCACCAGTAAAGAAGCAAACCCTTTCAGATTCAAGAAGTATGGCACTACAAAAAGCAATTCTCTGTTCTGGTAGTTTGAGCCTTAAGGTGCATAGCATTTCAAAGAATGGACTCGATGGGGGTATCGAATCATTAATGCAAACACAAGTAATTCAGAATAATTCTAAAATTCTAGTATGATTTCTCAAGCTGAAGCTATTAGCAACATTTTTATCATCCCAATTCAAGTATTTGGAGTGACATGGGAAAGAGCAGATTAGAAGCCATGTTGGACAACAGCTAATACTGAAATTTGTAGCTAGCAAAGGAACATATAAGGTCCTGTCCTGATTATCTAAAGAAAAATGAAAATTAAATGTATCCGTATTATTTATTTACCTGTGTCATGTCAGAAAGGGTAGATATTTTGGCATGAGCAGCAAATAGCTTAACTGACAATTCCCTTTTTTCTAACTCATGTTCTTTGTTTCTTCTTTTCATCTTAACCACTTCGAATTCAACAGTTTTTACAGCTTCAAGCTTCTTCTTAACCATATCATCTCAAGCAGAGGTTTCATTGGCTGTAAATCCGGACAACTGCTCCTCAAGCACCATTATCCGCCCCTTTATCTGGCTTGCATTACCATTTTCCATCCGCATTTGCTCTATCATCTTCTTTGCCTTCTCTAGCTGCTTCATGGCTAAGTTATCCTGCCTTATAATTTCTTGAAGATCCTTTATCTCAGCTTTCAGTTCATGAATTCTGAAATTGAGTTTGTCAACTTCTGCAGTTTAGTCATCTAAATTCCTCTGCAAACAACCAATGTATGACAGCTTTTCTTTTAGACTGTACAACTCAAGCAGTTTCCCTTCAAGGGTCACTCTCTTCTTCTCCAATTCCTTTATTAGATTCTGTGATTGCTCTATTTCTCTATTCCCTAACTTCCATTGTCTGTCAAGCTCAAGCACTTCACAGTTTCTTTTCTGAGTCAAATTTGGTTTCAAAACTTTTTCCACATTCTTGCTGTTGACCCCTTTAACCTCCTCCTCCTTCATGTCCTTTTCCTGCAAGAGCTTAGTTTCTTGTTAGATTTTGGCAAAAAGAGTGTTGAGAAAGGGAGAGGCATTGAAAGATATAAAAGAGGAGGGGGACTAGGAAATACTGGAATATTATCTTCTCCCATGTCCACTTGCTGGGAGCTCGAGCAATCTTTTGCTAAAACCCATGCAAATGCCAAGTAGTTAGCATAATACCAACACCACAAACAAAACTACTCACTGACCAAGCCCAAAGCTAGTCAATTAACCTGACCTGGGAGCATCAGATTTTGCTTCTTCAAACGCTTTCTGATGACAGCAAAAGGTGCAACTGAAGCTACAACCAAGATGCTGACCCGGAATATCATGTAGATTCTTCACAGTTCGTGGGCATAGACAGCAGTCAAACTCGACAAGCAACTGAACAGAGATATTTGGGTCAAGAAAACCTGACACATTGCCTGCAGTGTTTTCACCATCACAGCTATCTATTCATCACTCCTTGGGTACCTCTGAGAATGATAAATCTCATCACCAAGAAGTGGCTCATCTTTGTCCATGTGAAGAACATGAAAACAATCACTAAATCTGTAGCTACAGATGACAAATTCCCATATCAATATCCTGACAATCTGGTTTAGCAAGGTGCCAAGCTCGGTTGGAGCTTTCTTAAGCTTGCTGTAAGGAATCCAATCACATAAGCCAAATCTTGCATTTTCTATCAACCCACTTTTTCCATCCCCCGGATACTTCACTTTGATTCCAACAACTAAGATTATATATACATATAAAAATATATTTATTATACATCTTACACAATATCATACTATCAGTATATTTATTAAACAAATTGAATTAAATTTTATATGATACGATGAGGTTATTTAAACACGATTAATCTATTTAAATGAATATTATAAACCGGTTATATAAATCATATTAAACGAATTGATACGATTACATAATTAATTAAATAAATTAAATGTGTTATATGTGGATTAAACGAATTTAACTTGTATAAGATACAAATTTTATCAAGTCTTAAATGATTCGAATTTATTATTTTATTTTAAAGATACAATATTTTTTAAAAAATCTTTAAATTATTTAAAAATTAAAAAAAATCTTATTTGAATATTAGTAAATAGTTCATGAACTTTTAAATATTATACCTATTTTAACAGTCAAAATTTAAAATACTTTGAAGAATACCCTTTTTTTAAACAATATTCTTTTACCTTAACTTTTAATCATTTTTTAACCAAATTACAAAAGATAAGAATAAAATTACAAGCATTTAAAATGTGTTTATTTACAATATTTTAGTAACATATTTTGTTTACATTTTATAACACTTTCATAAATTTGATTGTATTATATAAATTTTTATGTTATAAATAAAACATAATCATAAAAATTATAAATACTAGTAAAACGGTACTTTTTAAAATTTTATTATGTGAAAAACATATTATTGAAAAAATATAATTAAAATCCGAACTTATTATAATATAATACATTAAACTTACTTTATTTATTTTATTTTTGGATCAAAATAATAATTAGTAAGATTCTTATAATATTTTTTCATTAAAAATTTTGTCATTTTTTACATAAGAATTTTTTGTAATTTTTTTCTTTGATTTACAACTTAATATAATTTTTTTTCCTAGAAAGGAAAAAAAAAGCAAAAAAAAAAATATTCTGCACTAACGACTGTAGCGTATTGACAGATTTAAAAAAGTTTACTTTTTTAGCGAATAAATTGTTATCTTCTTCTTCAATCTGTCTCTCTCTTTCTATCCTGTGTATAATAGTTTGGCATGAATTGGAAACCCTAGCATTTGATTTTTGTCACTTGTTTTTAAGTTTTACAAGAAGAAATCAGCAATTTCGAGCGAACAGCAACATTCCATGGACGCGCGACGCGTCACACGCGCGGTCCCCAGGGTACGCCAAGTAGGCTTCTTCACCCCGAACGCGCCGCCGGAGCAACCGGGACCTGTTCGGTCTCAATCAGGTCCTCCAAACTCCAGTTCGCCTCCACTCTCCGGTTCTCCCGCCAGCAACTCGCTCTCTCCAGTCATGATCCCGCCACCGCGTCACCTCTCAGACAACGTCGGAGCGCGCACCGCCGCGGTGCCGGTTCCCGGACGAGCTAACGCTGGAGACCATGCGACTGTCGGAAGCTACAACCCGTCGGATTCGGTGCTGGGGTTGGAGTCGCCGCCGCCGACTCGGATTGGCGACGGAGAGTTCTCGGAGGAAACGGAATCGTCGTTGGGATGGTACCGTAGGAACAATCCCGCGAAATTTGCGTCGAGTTTTCCAGGAGGAGGTTTCGATTTGTCTCCGGTGAAGCAACCAGAAAGTGTCTCCGGAGTAGAAGCTAAAAATCAACCGCCTGGTAATAATGTTTTTTTTAAAAAAAATATATCTGAAATAAATGAGGTTTCTTAAAGGAAAATTGCCTCGCAGAAGAAAGTAAAGTGCAAAAGGGACAAGCATCAAGTTCAAAGCCTTCAAAACCGAAAACAACGAAAGCTGAGAGACGTGCCTTGCAGGAGTCTCAACGGGCTGCGAAAGTTGCTTCTAAAGGTTCAAAATGGTCTTTTTCTTTATTTTCAGTGACTATGTCAAACTGTTAAGTATTGCTATTTGAATTGAATTGATTATGGAGAATGTGTGCAAATGTGTCCAAACATGCATTTTTCCTTGTGTCTAAAGTGGAAGATATGATTTGAAGTGCTTAACTGGTTTGGGTCTCATCTCGTCCCAAAAGAGGTTAGTTTAACATAGTAGGAATTTTTTGCAAATGTAATGGATGGAATTCAGTTACACTAGAGAGGAAGATTGGGAAATTGAAAAGAGGCTAAAGGAATGTAGTCGGAATATATGTAAAGAAGCATGTAGCTCGATGACAATATGTGAGGTGTCATGACTAGCATACAATTATGAAATAATATAAATTATTAATCTATCGATGATTATGTTTTAAATTAAAAATTCCATTTCATTATTATAGAAAACAAATATAGATAATTTTCGTTAGTACATGTTGCAATCAGTTTCAAGGTTTCTGCTTTCCTTAAATTAATCAGTTCTGAATCTGATTGAAAGAGAAATACCTAACATGGAGTGAGTTCTTTATCAAACCCATGCTTGACTTGTTTTCCAATCTAATGAGTGAAGCTTGAATAGTTTGCAAGCAGCTCAGCTAGTTTCTAGTTTCCACCTCTATAATATTGAAATCATTGAATAGCTTATTGAAGTCTGTTAGCATTTCCTTATTTGTTCAGATTTGTTCTTTTACTCCTCTAAAAACATAGGCAATGGTGTTTTGGATTTTGATGAAACATTACTTCTGTTAGACATTTATTATTTATAGTTGTTCTGACCAATTTAAATCGGTTTTTTAGCACTTAATTCTTTAGCTTTTTCCTTAGTATTAAGCAGCTTTTAATTTTATTTTTATAGCTGAAGCAAATAAATCTGGTGGAGGAGCAGCTTCTTCTAAAACTGCAAAGCAGCCATCACAGAAGAAAGATGGTCCTCCAGTTGCATCTTCGATTGCAACTTCTGAAAGAATTGGAGTTGATCGTCCAGCAGAGAAAGAGAGGAAGAAAGATGTTCCTCCTCCGCGTATGCAATTTGATGATGAGAGTCGTGTGGGAAAGGCTAAAAGACGATCTGTCTTGAATCAACCTGAAGCTAGAAATAGAGTCGAACTATTTCGCCATCTGCTTCCACACATAAATGGAACTCAGCTTCCTTATTTGGAGTCTAAATTTTTTGAACTTCATGATAAGCATCCTGCTGTTTACAAGGTACTCTCTTTAGTAGTTTGTTGTGGTTAGTTAATAGTTGAGCTTATTATTGCTATTTCAACTACTGAAATGAAACATAGGTATTCAACTTCTTCTTATCTGAGTGTTGTCACCTACGCTGACACTGGAAAGTAAAGGAAATGAATGAGCCAGTCATAGATTAGTTGTTTGTGCAATTTAACTTTAAATTTCTCTAACGCTGTATTTTACCTTCTATGGCCACGAAATTCCCTTTCTCTGTTGGCTTGATACATGTTGGTGAATGGCATAATACTGGTTCATCACTAAGTAACTCCTTTAAAGTTCGTTGAGAAAAAAGGAAAAATTACAGAGGGGGTAAATTGGCACAAAGTAAATATCCAGTAGAATGATAACTCAAATATGCAAATCCATTGTTGAGAATGCTACATAAACTTCTTCTTTCTTTTTTTTTTTTAAATTCTTGCTCAGCTTCGTGAACTTATTCTTATCCTTCTTGCGATTTTTCTCAAATCTTTAAAGATTTTTATTAACACAAATTCTGTTAAATTTTGGCCCACTAGTTGGTGTGAGGATATACTGTAGGAAAAGGAATCAGAATGTGGGCACATGGTATTTTTTGCATATATTGACTGTGATGGTGGATGAATTACTTTCATGTCTACTTATTTTGAAAAGTAGATAAAACAAGTTCCTTACCATGATGTCTTATATGAAATTATCAGGTTGGATTGCAGTATTTGACTGGAGATTTATCTGGAGGTAATGCTCGTTGTATCGCAATGCTGCAGGCATTTCAGGAAGCCATTAGGGACTATTCCACACCACCGGAAAAAACCCTCATTAGAGATTTAACTTCCAAAATTGGTAGTTTTGTTTCTTTCTTGATTGAATGCCGCCCACTTTCTATGAGCATGGGAAATGCAATCAGGTTTCTGAAGAGTCGCATTGCCAAGTTACCACCAACTCTCTCTGAATCAGAAGCAAAGGCGGCCCTTTGTTCTGACATTGATCGTTTCATAAATGAGAAGATAGTGCTTGCTGATAAGGTGATAGTTAGACATGCTGCTACAAAGATCAGAGATGGCGATGTTCTTCTGACATATGGATCATCGTGCGTTGTTGAAATGATTCTGCTCTATGCCCATGAGCTTGGGAAACAGTTCCGTGTTGTTGTGGTAGACTCACGTCCCATGCTTGAAGGCCAAAAGCTACTTCGTAGGCTGGTAGCAAAGGGCCTGAGTTGTACATATACTCATATAAATGCTATTTCTTACATTATGCATGAAGTCACACAAGTTCTTCTTGGGGCTTCCTCAATATTGTCTAATGGGACTATATATTCGAGGGTTGGGACTGCATCCGTTGCTATGGTTGCTTATGCATATCGTGTTCCAGTTTTGATCTGTTGTGAAGCATATAAATTTCATGAAAGGGTGCAGCTTGATTCAATCTGCTTTAATGAGCTAGGTATGTTGGTGTTATACAAGTCAATCTGTTCCCCCACTTTCTTTTTATCTCCCAGAAGAATCTCTCTCTCTCTCTCTCTCTCTCTCTCTCTCTCTCTACACACACACACACACACACACATATAAAGTTTGGACACTGGAATTGCAATTCCTCCTGACAGGGGAGTTGTCGTTTCATATCGTTTTCTCTAGTTATTTCACCTTCTCTTCTGAAGTAGACAACTTGAGCCTTCTGGAATATCTTGCAGGTGACCCGGATGCCATAGCGAAGGTCCCTGGAAGAGTTGATGTGAATTATTTGGATAATTTGACTGATAAACAGAACGAAAACCTCACACTTCTTAATTTAAAGTAAGCTTTTCGAAAGCTCATGTCTAAAGAAAGAAAAGATTTGTTTTTAATGATCTCTAAATGATTCTGAGCTCTCTTACCTTACTGTGATTTCCCAACAGATATGATGCTACTCCTTCAGATTATATCTCTATGATTGTCACAGATTATGGCATGGTGAGTGATTCTGGTATATTTTTCCCCTTCTTTACTCAGGATTTTGTGAATCCAAGGATACCTAAGTCCTATACATTTGGTCGGTGTTTATTTTTTCCACTTTGTTTGTCAGTCACTCTTCTCTTCCTTGGTAGGGTTAAACGCATTAGTCGATTTTAACTCATCTATTGTTTGGTCTGCAGATCCCTCCCACGAGTGTGCCTGTCATAGTGCGCGAGTATCGGAAGGAGTACTTGTTGATATAGAGTTACAACATTTTTGGATAAAAAGGAAAGCTCTCCTCATTGATTCATAAAAGGAATCCATTTTTGGGGGACGATGGATCCATGTTTTAGGCTTTTTTATCACTTACTTCATTACCCTTTCTGATTCATTCTTTACATCAAAATCATAATTTTATGCCACGTCAAATTGACTCGAATCCTGGAAAGACATTAGTTCTGGTAAATAGAACAAGTTTTCGTGTTTTCTTGTATTGGATGCTGATAACTTTCCCTGTACATGCATGTTTGATTTGCAAGTTACACCAATGATAGCCTAAGAGTTTGGAGTTTCTCTTTGCCTTGGATTCGTAACCTGGAGTTGAGAACTCACCTTTAGTTTCCGTTCAGCTAATGTTGTGGAAAACCTCAGGCTCTTTTTAAAGTTATCCAGGCCCTGAAATGTTGTCTCAGACCAGATGACTAATAGGGTTTAGGTACATGCTTATGTCTTACATTATTACTTTACTGTCCCCTCGACAGGTTGACTTGTCTGATCGTGCAGTGTTTTCGTTTATAAATTGCAAACATCTGTACTAATAACCTAAAGTCAGATTTCGTAACATTTAAAACTTATTAAATAGTAAAATAAATATTTCAACTCTGATATTGTGCTTGCAGAAATTCAGATTATGAACTGAATAAACTAAAATCTAATTGTAGAGCTCAGCTGAAGGGAAAATCTCTGTACTTAAAAGTTGCAATGTGTCAATTTTGTGTAGAATCTGAAAATGACAAAAGGGCTTTCCAAATTTAGAGCTAAACCCAACATTTTTCTGAACTAAAAGTAGCTAATTGAGTTACTCAAAGAAGCCATCAAAATCTACCCAAAAGACAGAAAAAGTCAGTGTCCTGGCACCCCCATGCCTAGGACAGCAAGAACTCCGTGCCTTCTCCACGTGTGTTCCTTGCACGTTTCCAGAACCTAAACCTCCGCACACCTGTCATCAAAGCCTAACGTTTCTCTTCCCCTTTCTACACTTTTAACCCATTCCACTCTTTCTTTCTCAAGCCTTCCTCTTCCCCCCTAATTCACCCTCTGAGCTCTCAACCATGGCTGAGCACAATCCTAGCCACCAGAGAGCTGCACCAAGACCCAACCCCACCGCCAGTGCTGCGTCCACTTTTTTACGAAAATTCCAAGCTCATGCACCCAACTCCGCTCAACTCCTCGGTTTCTTGACCCTCTTTGTTTCTGCTTCAATTCTGCTAACTCTCACTGGCCTCACCGTCACTGCTGCCATCCTTGGCCTGGTCTTTTTTATGCCATTGATCGTCATTTCTAGCCCCATATGGATCCCGGTAGGCACCGTGCTGTTTGTGACGGTAGCCGCGTTCTTGACAGCATGCGGGTTCGGATTGGTGGTGATGGCGGGGTTGTCGTGGATGTACCGCTACTTCAGAGGCATGCACCCACCGGGGTCTGACAGGGTCGACTATGCACGGAGCCGGATTTATGACACGGCCAGCCATGTGAAGGACTATGCTATGGAATATGGTGGTTACTTGCAAAGCAAGGCAAAGGATGCTGCTCCTGGTGCATGAGCAAATGGATCCAACCGGTTCGGATCTTGGGTTGATCCGGTCTCAGCTACCGGCTTTTCCGTTTTTTTTTCTTCCTTTATCCAATTTGTGATGATGGTAATTTGGTTGTTTGAACCAAAAAAAAGGTTTTTTTTTTGTTTTAAATCGAAATTTTACTTATCGATTATATGCTTTTCATTTGCATGAAATCATATCGAGATTTAAATGAGAAGTTCTTGTTTATTCGAGAAATTAATTTAGGGCATTTAAATAAATTGTAAAACTTTGGTTAATTAAAGTTTTGATTAAAGGCAATCAACGATGTAATTATTTGTGAATTAATTCATAACCAATCACCATTTCAACAAATTAATGTTATTATATTTTAATCTTTTTGTTTAGGTAGCGTTTGGTATTTTATAATATAATGTGATTGCAGGTAATGTGATTGCAAGTAATGTCATTTTAGGGAAAATAACATTACAGTGTTTGATATACAAGCAAAATAATGATTAAAATGCAGAGAAGATAACATTGCAGTGTTTGGTTTATAAGTAATTTGTTGAAAATGTAATGTTAATTTTCAAAATTACTTTTAGTTATTAAAATATAAATTTAATATATTTATATTTTTTATTATTAATTTTTATATAATATCATCTATTAAATATATTTTTAATGTCATATATTTTATTTTTATTTATTATTATAATTTTCTATATTTTATTTTTATTTCTTTAATATAATTTTTTATATTATATATTTTATTTTAATTTATTTTACTTATGTTATATAAATTTTAATATTTTAATTTTAATTTTTAATTTTAATTTTTAATTTTATATTATATATTTTATTTTAATATTTTTTATTTTAATTATAACATTATAAAATATTTTTAATGAGGTAATAAAGTTGAAGGGTAAAAATATCTTTAAAACATTGCAGGGTGTAATGTAATATGATTGCATTGATTTTAAACTGCAATCACATTACATCCTTTGGCTGTAATATGATTGCATTGTAATCTTACATTGCAAACACTGTAATATAATTTAATTAGACACATTCCAAGAAAAGTGCTCTCACTTCCCTTATACCAAACGTCACCTTAGTATAAAAGAAAAAAATCTTACCTTTTTTTTAAAAAAATAAATTATTTAATAATTAAATGCTGAAAGTAGTCCTTTATTTTTAATTAAATAAAGTATTCATTTTATAAAGTAAATACAGTATAGCACCAATTATTTAATTGCTTATTTGTGATTACCCATGCAATATCTTTATGTGTAGATTTGCAAGCATTGGTGACCTTGTTCCCAATTTTATCTTTGGATTATAAAGACAATTTTTATTCCTAGATTATAATTTGGTTTATTTATTTATTTTATGTTTATTTTGTTAGATATAGTAATAATTATTTCATATTTGCCTATTATTACTATTTTAATTTAATATTAATCAAAATAATAAGATATAATAATGTTTAAATAAATTTTAATTTCTTATCATGTTTAATTAATTAAATAAGTTTTTATTATTAACAATTGATTAATTATTATTAATAAAATTATTACTTATTATTTTATGTTCGTATAATTTTGTTGTGATATGATATTATGGTAGTTAACATATAAATAATATTTTTATTAAATTAATTATTAGTTATAAAAATTTATTTAATTTAAAATAAAATTATAAAAATTTATTTTATCTAAAGTAAAAATATAAATATTTTATTAAATATTATAACAATATAAAAAATTATTTAAATTTTTATAAATAATTTATGAATTTTTAAATGTTATGTCTAAACAATAATTAAAAAATAACCAGCGCTCATACTGATATCTATAAAGCTGTGTACAGGTCTGGCTGGGGTGTGGTCCAGTCGGGTCAGACTAGGCCCCCTTTGAGACCGTTTTGTCTGGTTGATATCTTTAGAGGTGTTTATATGCCTGGGCTGGCCTTGGTGTGGGATTAGGTAAGTTGAAACCGCTTGGTCTGACTGGTCTAATTATTACAGAGGTGTTTATAGGTCTGGTTCTAGGCTCGGTTGATACCGTCTGATCTAGTTGGGTGGTCCAGTCAAATCGAAAAGGCAAAGTCAACTCTTAAGAGAAGAGAACAAAATTCCAAGTCAATAAAAATGGCAATGTTTTGTGAATAAATAAGAGATTATGAATGAATTAATTATTAATTATTTATTTATTTAAATATAAATATTTTATAATAATCAAGGTTGATTGATATTAAATTTTTATTATATTAATAAATATCATGATACTTAAAATTTGTTGTTATAAATTTAAATAATAGTATCGTATTTTATTTACATATATTTTAATTTACTAATATTAATTATATTAATTATGTAAATATATCATAATTTGTATAAATTTTAATAGTGTTATGTAATGTAAATTTTTTTATACATTTAATGAATGTGTTAATCATGTCATATCGTGTTATATATTTATTAAATATAATTATATTTATTTATATAATTATTAATATTTTATATTTATGTAACAGTGATTAAAATGTAAATACAAAAATTATTGAGTTTATTGATAACTAACTTTGCCCGAACCCGTAGTTAGTATACCCATGTCATTTGGATTCTTTAATGTACTACTCATGATTTATGAATTAATTTTAAAAATTGGAAACAATTACCAAAAGATATGAAATTGACAGGGTTGTTATTCCTTTAGAGTCTAGTCAAATCGAGAAGGTAAAGTCAATTCTTAAGAGAAGAGAACAAATGTCCACCAGACACAAGGAAGTCAAAAGATGCAGCTTCCTCTTCACACGGTTCATGAATGGACAATAAATATATTAATTCATCAATATTAATCCAAACATTACCTCTCTTCTTAATCAATAAATTTAATCTAAATTTGGTCCAAATTGATAAAAAAAAAATGGAACCCATAAGCTTGATTTTGTGTGTGTATTTTTTTTAAAATTGGGAAATAAAATTTTAATTTCAAAATTTTATTTAAAGTATAAAAATATATAATTATACCCACACAAATTATCAATTAGCAAAGTAAGAAGTCTATTTCGTTCATAGGAAGTATTTTGAAAATAAAATTTTGAATACACTAAGATTATGCGAGGGAGTATATATTTTAAAATCGTCGATAAATGTTGAAGATGCCATAATTGTATTAGCGAAAAATAAATAAATATGTATATGCGGCTATACTATCTAATAACAAGATAACCACAATTTTGACATAATGAAAAAAAAATGATTTCAAGATTCTTATTTCAATTATATTTTTGTAAAGATGAAAGTTGACATCTTTTACTCTATATATATATCTTAAATTATTTAAAAATATTTAAATAAGTTTTGATTTTTTTATTTTTTAATTAAGTCACTTTATTTTTATTTTGAGTCAAATAAGTTTTTATAACTAATAATTGAGTAATTGTAATTAATCAAAAATTTATTTATAATTTAATATCTATAAGGTATAATCATGACGTTGATATCGATAGTGAAAAATGTCGCATGGTCAGTTGTTATGTTAAATTAATATATCCTATCATCATTAAATATAATATGTTAACATATCGTATCATCATCAATTATTATAGGTTAGCGTGTTAAATCAACACTATACTGTAAAAAATAATAAATGATATTTTAATGAAATTAATCATTAGTTGTAAGAGTTTATTTGATTTAAAATAAAAATATAAAGACTTATTTGATTCAAAACAAAAATAGAAATATTTTATTGAATATAATAAAAGTATAATGGCTTATTTGAATTTTTTTGAAAAATTTAAAAGCTTGTTTGGATATTATGTCAAAAAAATTGATTAAACTTGGACCTTAATTATATCATTGCAATGAACAACAATAACATGAAAAGTCAAGCCATAATTTAACTATTTTGGTACAACATCAAAAACATTTTCCATGGAAAATGATCTTGTCATGTTTTAATTATTTATTATTTATGTTTTTGTAATTGGTATAATAAACAAGTAAAAAAAAAGTCATGACTATTTTCTCATCCCTGACATTACTAGAAATTTATTCTAAGAATTTGTTCAAAATGTACAAAAAAATCAAATATATTCATGTTATAGACCTTTTCAAATTTCAACTATATGATATGATATGATATATATATATATATATATAGTAAGGCATGATGCTATAAACCTTAAGTCTCAAGTAAAAGACATATTCTCAGTGCTGATGTGCTAAAGAGTCATAGTTGAGAAATTTCAATTAATTTGATCAATTTTGGAAGTTTGAAGATTTTCTCTATGTTGAATTGTTCAACTATTAAGTAGTTTGAAAAGCTTACAAGTATACTAGTTGGTACCAATTATTCATTCATACTTAAATTATATCCAATTCCCACTTAAGTTAAAAAAACCAAACTATATCAAATCTAACCTAGCTATAATGCATAATGTTATTAGTTCACCTGTAAATTTTAAAATTGAACTGGATCGATGATTAAAACAGTGGTCTACCCATCGGATTGGTTTAATTTTTTTGTTAGATCAAGTAAATAATTCGATTAAAAGTCACGGGTTTTTTTCATTGTTTTTACATTAACTTTATATTAACTTAGATGATTTGATCAGATTTTACTCATTTAAAAAAAAAATATTACATTAGAGCCACTTAAATGTCATTTATAAGTTTTAAGCCTTGATATCAATTATAATCATCACATGATCAAGCATTATGTTAGTATATATTTTCTATAATAGTCTATTTAATTTATATAAATATATATAAAAATAAAAAATTAAATATGTGAACCAATCATCGATCCAATAGTCGAACCGTTTAACCCAATGACCCAATACATTCATTTAAGACACGGTTTTATTATAAGAGTCGAAATTCGAACTTCACATTCACACCCCAATTCTGGATAAAAACTAAAAAATTTTAATAAAATATTTATTTAATGTATCTTAACATATAATTTAATAATAAATATGTATCTCGTTAAATAGATTGAGTTCAATTTTTTTTAATGATAAATTGATCAAGGCCAAATATTTACTCTAGGAAATATATTTTTAAAAGTTGTACAATTCAATTTTTTCTAAAACTTTGTACATATACTTTCAAAGAGGAAAAAAAAAAAGCATTAACTCACTAATTTAAAGAGCAAAAGCTTTTTCCTTTTATGGGGGGCGCCGGGACGGGGGCTATTTTCTTAGGAAAATGATTTCGTCACCTAGAAGCCATATCACTACAAAAACACACCAATAGAAACGCGACACGTAGCACCTTACAGTAAGCTTGTAAAGACAACATTTC